CTCCTTTTATAATTAAGTACGTTTACGACAGGTCGTTATGGGCATAGAAAAACCAAGCAAATCACACTTGGAAGATTTGAAGGTGAACAATCACTAGCCTTAAAGGCGGCAAAATACCTCTTTTTGATACCGACTATCCTAGATGTGTATACTATAGTTCACTAAAGTGGCTCGCGAAACGGTTAAAGCACGGTTATTGGAGAGTAACTGATTTGGCCAAGAGGCGATTACTTCCCCGTTCAGGATAACGGTACAGTGCTTCCGATTAAGATCGGCGACAATGTTTTGAAAGGGAGAGAGAGAGAGAGAGATAGAGATAGAGAGAGAGAGAGAGAGAGAGAGAGAGAGAGAGAGAGAGATCCACGTGCGGACGTGTAAAAGTGCTACATGTACTTCTTGTACTGCAGCAAGTTGCATAGATGTTTTCATACTTCCTGTTGAGTTTATTGAGTTCATTGTCCCAGGTGAATAGTTTGCCACTCGTACAACGAAAGTCTCGCTGTGATTCTTCGGTGAGGAACATTGCGTTTTTGCGGCTTGCTGTATAATTACGTCATGGATATGAAAAAAAAAATACAAGGATTAAGCTTTGCTCACCGAATCGCCGCGTGGCATAAGTAACATCGATGAACAGATCCCATGAAATGGATTGCACCCTCTACCAGTGGTAGACTCCACCGAAAAATTACGATTTCCGGGTCTCTTGCATGTGACCCTAACAACTAGTCAAAGGGTTGTGAAGTCGTGTACGCAACGCTGCAAGAAGGAAGAATTTGATCGTCAAAAGGATGGGATGGTTTGCTGGATTGAACGCTAGGTTGCAGCACGACCATGCTCAACAGTATTGATTGAGCTGATAAAAGAGCTCATTCAGCAATTTGCCGAGCCAAGAACACTCGACTCGCCTCAGCAACCACATTGGAAGAAGTCTCCAATACCACCAACCACCCTTTCACTCAAGCACCATGAAGCTTTCGTACATCATCGCCTTCGCCGCCGTTGCCGTCGCTTCGACTGCTATGCCCGCCAACGCCGCCACGGGCTTGGCAACCAACAACGCGGCCGAGCTGCAGGTCGTTCGCCAGCTTGGCGCCGGCGGTGGCCTCCGTGGCAGCCAGCAGGGTGACCAGAACCAGAACCAGAACACGCCGAGCACCTCGCAGAACGACGGTAACAACAGCCAAAACGATGGCAAGCAGGTGAAGCAGGACGATGGCAAGCAGGAGAAGCAGGACAATGGCAAGCAGGAGAAGCAGGACGACGGTAAGAAGAAGAAGGAAGACAAGGAAAAGAAGGAAAAGGAGAAAAAGGAGAAGAAGGAGAAGAAGGAGCAGGAAAAGAAGGAGAAGGAAGAAAAAAAGAAGCAGAAGGACGATGACAAGTCCAAGAAGGACGGTGACAAATCCAAGAAGGATGACGACAAGTCTAAGAAGGACGGCGACAAGTCCAAGAAGGACGGTGACAAGTCCAAGAAGGACGATGGCGACAAGAAGAAGGACAAGAAGGACGATGGTGACAAGAAGAAGGACAAGAAGGACGACGGCGATAAGAAGAAGGACAAGAAGGACGACGGCGATAAGAAGAAGGACAACGGCGACAAGTCCCAAAAGCAGGGTGACCAGAACCAATCTCAAAACCAGGGGGAGCAGAACCAATCTCAAAATCAGGGCGAACAGAACCAATCTCAAAACCAGGGGGAACAGAACCAATCCCAGAACCAAAAGCAGGGAGTGTAAAGCACTGCGGCGGGTAGTTGCTGGCACTAGCTCGAAATCTAACCAACATTTACCGGTAGATACCACGTGTTGTACACAAAAGATACTACGCTAGTGTAAATACCAATTCAATCAACGTCCATTCGTAACTTTATCTTGTTGGTCTTAAGGACATTAGGTTTTCATATCAATGATCCACCCGAAAAGATAGCTTCGTTCAAGTAGACTCTAAAGGTACTGTGTTTGTGAATCAGCCCTTAGCTATGTTTAATAATATTAAACATAGCTAAGGGCTGATTGGGGATATTATCCCCCTCTGTATTCCGTGTGGGGGAACGCCGCTGTAAAAAACATCTTTTCCGAGACTTCTGAAAATACACGAGACCATACTAAACAAGCGAACTCACGCAAAATTGTAGCTCAGATTACCCCTGCTCCAGTGATTCCTTTATTTCCAGAAATAAAAAGTTTCTGACTGAGGCTCGTTCTTATTTTCCCGCTCCCACCACCCGGAGAGATTTTCCTGCATTTTTATTGGCACTTTTACACTCTGCGACACAACTGATCACCCGGGGTCGTTTTGGTCCGTAACGACGTCAATATTTCGAGTTAGCAAGTGCTGTTTGGATATGTGCTTGCTGTGCTTAGCAACACTACGCGGTTTGTGCTAACGAGTGCAACTTCGCAACCTGCGGGGTACCTCCCATACAACTTTCTACTTTTACCTTCGCGACACATTAAATCACTCGCTGTCTACTTAAAAAAGTCTAGTATAAAAGAATGTAGGTCTCATCTAAATCGATGGTACAGAGCCACAATGCGAGAACTGAGCGAGCAGAGAATTCATTCTCCAAAAATGCCGCCCACGCATCGGCAAGGCATCGATTCGATGAGAGACTGCAACAAAGCAATAGGGATATCATCCCAGGCTTTGAAAAGCGCTGCCTTCAATTCTGGCACGCTATTGAACTGTTTGCCGTTAGCATAGACTTTCCTACTTATAATAGCCCACAAGTTTTCAATAGGATTGAGGTCGGGCGATTTTGATGTCCAATCTAGAACAGCTGTGCCCTGCTCTTCAAAAAAACTCCTTCGAGCGATGAGAGACATGGATACTAGCGTTATCTTGTTGGTAGATATAATCTATGCCGTAGTTTAGGTGTGCAAAGGGGAGGAGATACTCAGACTCAGTGTGGACGTAATTGTCTGAGTTCTGCCTCCCCGTCAGCACGACAAGTGGAAACTTGCCACGGGCGCTAAAAGCAGCCCACACCATAACCGAGCCGCCACCAGCCTGACGCCGTTTGGTGCAGCGTGGTGGCTGGCGGACATCTCGCCAGTAATACTGGAAGCCGTCGGGGCCGTCCAGGTTCCACTTCTTCTCATCGGAGAAGATGATGGACTCCCAGATAGCCCCGGCGTCTTTCTGTAGCAGTATGGCCCCCGCCCAAGCCTTGCGCGCCAGCTTGTCTTCGGCCTTCAGGGGCAGCGTGTTGACCATTTTGGTATACACCAACCAGTCCACCCTAGCGAGGGTGCGCTGAATGGTGCGTACCGTGACTGGAAGGCCCAACTCTTCCTTGATCTTGGCAGCAGAGAGTTCCCCCTTGGCAGCAGCACGGACGAGGCGGCGAGTCTCGCGTTCGGAGAGGGCGGGAGCACGACCAGGAATCTTCGCGCCACTACGAACTTCACGGAGAGCCTGCCCCGAAGCCACTACGCGCCGCACAGTCTGCGCGCAGCGGCCCGCCTTCTGGGCGATGGCCCGGCCGCTGAAAAGGCCTCGTGAAGCCCCTTAATCTTGCCCGCTCTCTGTCAGTTAAGCGGGGCTTCTTCTTGGCTAGGGGCCTCTTCTTCGACGACGGTATTTTCTTGGAAGGGGAAGGGGGGCTTCTTCATGGCCTTGGGCGGCATTTTTGGAGAATGAATTCTCTGCTCGCTCAGTTCTCGCATTGTGGCTCTGTACCATCGATTTAGATGAGACCTACATTCTTTTATACTAGACTTTTTTTAAGTAGACAGCGAGTGATTTAATGTGTCGCGAAGGTAAAAGTAGAAAGTTGTATGGGAGGTACCCCGCAGGTTGCGAAGTTGCACTCGTTAGCACACACCGCGTAGTGTTGCTAAGCACAGCAAGCACATATCCAAACAGCACTTGCTAACTCGAAATATTGACGTCGTTACGGACCAAAATGATCGGTTGTGTCGCAGAGTGTAACATCAAGCAAGACTTGCAAGCCTACTAGAAAACTTTCCTCCTGAGTTTTTTCGCGTGGTCGGGAGCGGAAGATTTCTTGGTACTTGGAGTTTGTATCGAAGATCAAATATACTATAGAATTACTGAGGATTTGCGTGTCAACATGTTAAATATCCAATATTTGTCGAGATACCAACAATTCGGGTGAAAACCTCAATGGCACATGGGAGAGTGAGCTTCACAGGGAATTTTAGAGCTAAGTGGCACATACTGGATATTCGGATCATCGCCCTTCTAGAATTCTGGAGAACAATCCGGAATTCAACCTTACTCGTGTATATAGACAGCATATGACGATTTACCGGCCATACATTTTTAAAGTATCCATGCGAAGGGTACCCACCATTCTCCGCCCAAAGCATTAATGAATACGATGGGGAGGGGGGGGGGGGGGCATTTACGCACTTGCTGATGTCATTTCGGAGTTTACTGTGTAGTGTACGAAGACGGAATGCCACGGACCTCGAGCCACCGCTACCAATCACTAAAGCGATTCGATGAAACTGACTTTCGTGCTTCAAGTGCTGACCTTTTTTGGTGAGACGAAAGCGCAAGGCCACTATTGCTCAATTCGTCGTTTCAAAAGAGAGGAATATTGATGGTAATGACCAGAGCATCACTTCAGTCACTGTGCCCTTGGTGTACAAGTTGTGCTTGCGGGCGGAAGAGCCGGGTGGTGTCCTCAATTTCGCGAACTTCGCTTCTGAGAATTTCGAGCGGCTTTGGGGTACCGTTCATCGTCACGTCAAGGGCTGCTGGAACATTGGTCGTGGAAAAAAATGCCGCTACACCGCCGTAGATGTCTTCTTCATGACGCTCACCTCGCTCAAGCACACATGTAAATGGGGGGGGGGGGAGTACTGTTGCTCGCGTTTTCAAGATCCCGCACTCCAGTTTTCAGGAAATAACACGCAAGTCCATGGACGTCGTCTCACCATTCTTGTACGAGAAGTTCGTAGAGGACATGGATGACCGCTGGGTGCTTGACAAGCTTGTTCGTTCTGGGCATGCGTTCACCAACTCCCGCAAAGTGGGCTATGCTACAGACGCCATCTTCCAGCAAGCTAACAAATCGAACAGCAACATGAACGCGATTCTGCAATACTACAGCGGTAAGCACCATCTCTACTACTATAAAGTGGAGGTGTCGGTACTTCCAAACGGACGTGCCACCAAGGCGAAACAACGTCTGACGCAGGAAAATATCGAGCGAAGAATGTTGGAAGGCACGCGTCGCTGCACTACAGACGGCGGTGGAAATCCCGTTGGGTGACACGCTGGACGTTTGAAGCAACAACTGTACATGCAGTGCACGCTGGGAAGCTGAGCAAGTTGAGAAAGGTGGCTACGCTCCTCAGAACTAACCACTGGAGCTGAGGAGCAACCTACAGAGCTGGTAGGTCGACGGTGCTGAAGGATCAAGCGCTTGCAACTAGCTGCTTTCAGTTAATCACTTTCAATCTTACCTTTTCAAGATCAAGTGTCTTCCAAACTTCGTCCTTCACCTCTCAACGCTGATATCATCATCAACAAAGAAGTGTTAGCGCCAATCTACTATTGTTGGTGAGTTGAGTGGAGAGAGGGATGCCAGCGAAGACGCGCTTATCCAGTTGATCCAAGAGTTTTAACCAAACCTCCAACAGTCGACACTTTTCGATAATAATCTACGTTTCACGCGATTTGTATAATAGGGATCAACTTAATTACTGCGAATATGAACGATTATTGTGCATTATTGTGTATATCCAGCAAATTCGTAAAAACGGGGAGCATTCTCTCTAATACTGCGTGACGTGGAACTTGGGGGTCATGCAGGGACACTACAGCTCTAGTAGATCGAATACTACAGAAATTGCGGTAATACTACACTATCTGTTAGAAGGCTAACCAGTATCTTGTTTTGCTGCGACCCGATATCCCATTTGTGTTTCCTCGTCCTCGCTGACATATCCACCGCACCACACCGAGACGGAGCTGGATGTACCAGTGCGACGACGGCAAGCGGTAACAAGTTTCACCATTCGGTTGGCTTGGTAACGCTTCTCTTTCTCGTTTGCTGTTCATTTATCACGGCACCGATCTCGCAAAGCCTAGCGTTAACCTGCCACCATCATCGCGGAGGGATCTCAACCGAATGTCACGTTGGTAAGTGCGACGCACGTATGGAAAAGAATATCGCAGGATATCTCGCCGAACTTCCAGTTATTCTAGTCAAAGCTTGGCGATTTTTTCTCTGGGTAGGTGTACAGGCACCTCAACTCCCCAATTACAACTTCATCTTGATCGTCTTGACCTGTAGACACTCCAGCGCTGTGGCTTCCGCCCACTTCTCCCTTGCGGGGCTCGGGGATGCTGCCGAAGCCCGTTTATTGCGCGACCCGTCTTGGTCGCTTATTATGCGTTACAAGATCGAGTTCGATTCATCTGAAGTAACATGGCAATGTGAAGTATCTTAGGTATGCGTCGAAAACCAATGGTGCACTATTTCTGTTACTTTTCAGCGTGTCGTCTGCAGAACAGAAATTCTACGTTGTGCGCCTCATTAAAAGCCATGCCTGCGATAATGGCTGCACAGTGCAGAAACTGGTAAATACCAAGGACGGATATTTATCACTAGGGTACCACAACTTTGGTCAAATTTATCACACGGAACATCAAATGATCTCATTGGCCGAAAATAACAGTTCTTTAATAACATGCTGGTTGCTTGACGCAGCGAGCCTGGACGCTACAAAGGAACAGGGAGAAGTGACAGACCTAGTGGACAGTGGACGTGTGAAGATCCAGACTCCGGAGCCAACCGGTACGTGCTCATGTACACGAGGGCGTTCAATGCTTATATTAATGCTGCAGTTATTATCACCAGAACTTCGTATCAACAGACATTCAAACGCGAAGAAAAACGATGTAAGTGTGCTAATATTGATGAACTATATCAAGACGAAGCTAACGGCCGTTACGAAATATGTCACTAACTGCAGTGACTTGTTCACGAGCACTACTTCGTGATCCAGGCGGTCTTCTGCGTTGCTAAAAGGAGTCAAGGTACAGGTGAGTTCTCAAAATGATCCATTAATGTCGTACAGTGAATAACGTGTTCACTATTGCATTAGTTTTGGCTTTCAACTTCTCGGTCAAGCTGACGTCCAGTGGCTAGCTACGCAGTATCTACAAGGCAGCTTAAATTTTATCTTTGACGATCCACAATGCTTGGACGTAATTGTTTTCGAGCGCAGCTAGCTCTTCTTCAATGCGTAAGGTGGTGTTGCTTACCACTCTTTAGATAAAGATGTACCCACAAACAGGATGTCCACCTCGTGAATCAATCCTGTTAAATGAAGAAAAGGTATTTTTTGTGAGGATAATGCTAAGCAAGTTTGGCATATCTCCGGGTTGTGGAATTTTTCTACAGGGTATCACCGAGAATATTCCTTTTGACGGCAACTTATAAATATAGTTTCTTTCTGATACTAAAGTCTGACGAACTCTACTTGTATTTCTTCATCTCTTGGAGGTACGCAGCGAGTTTTCCACACTCGGCAAACGGACAGCCACCAACTACATATGTAATAGACTTTCTCGAGGCGTAACTTGAACGACCGCCTACACAGTGAAGCTGTGTCGGCGGGAATTCCCTGCGCAGTTCCATCTGGAACTGCGTGTTCGCACTGCCGGTTCGGGGCAGTGCGCCTTTCAGA